GTTTTCTCATTTTTCTACTTTCAATATTAAATCAAAAAACGAATGATCGAATGATACGACAGCAGAAAGCGTGTATCCTGTTTGTTTTCTAAAAAAGCACAACGTATGCTGATATTGTGAGTGCACACAGATAAAAGTAGACCCTTAACAGTCCCGAATTATGTATTACTCTTACCTTTATGAGAAAAAAATGACGCTTTAGCTTCTCTGCACAAACGATTGGATACGCTCCTAATAGCACACATTTATCTAGGTTAACCATTTAAACTAACATTGTTTTTTTAAGCATTTTATATAGGCATATATATTTTATTTTAGTCAAGTGGTGATGATTTGAGAAGGCTAAATTGATCAAACATAGGCTATGATTAACTCACTGTCTGCCACTGGCCGCTTGAAAAAAAACAAAAAAACTTGAATTTAACAAATAAAAACATTTTCCAAACATATGTCTAAATTAACGTAATAAAGAAACGAAAATATATATAACCACTTTTGCCATTAAAAACGAAACTGAACTATTTTAATGGCTACAACAGCAGCTGTGTAATTGGGGAAGAGAGAAAGAGAAAAAAGACACGGGCTCCAGTCGGACTCGGCCAGTAATTCTGATAATCTGTCAGATAAGGGCCGGACTAGGGCATATTTTTGAGGCCCGTGCAGGGTTGTGCTGAGCTTATTTTGTAGCAAACTCAATACTCATATACGCACGAGCGCACTTTGGATGTGACTGCGCACCGTTTCTGGAGCGAGCGAGTACCGAATGGCTTAAAAAGACATGCAAATAAATAATAAAATTTTCTGACAATGCAACAATGACCCGATTAGGCAAGTGACTATTCTGTCAACTGTCCCGAAACGCGAGTGAAAGTCTTGTATCGCAGCGTGCAGCGGCTCTTGTAGCGCAGACAAGATGAGCCGAGGTGAAGCCGTTTGAAGAGAAAGTCAAAGAGAGAAGACGCGTACAGCTGAATCACTCACGCTGTTTTCAAATGACTGATTTGATCAGTCTGTGTGGACTGGACTCAGTCTGTAGGTTTGATTATTTACTCATCAAACCTACATGCTATAGGCTATTGAATAAATGTGTGAATATCCATCATTTTAAAGTCAAAACTGTGTGAATGAGTAAAACTCCCGCACCGAAATTCAGGACCTGATTAAACACAATTCTACTATACAGAGTTTTGTGAAATAGATTTCAATGACTTTTCCAAAACTTTCTGGGTTTATTTATTTTTCCAAAACTTTTCCAGGCCTGGAAATTGGTGTTTTAAAATTCCATGACTTTTCCAGGTTTTTCATGACCGTACGAACCCTGTATATTTTACTTTTATTTGATTATTTTTGATAATGCATCTGATCATTTTTGAATCAGTTTTCCATAACAAAAATGCATATGGTTACAAAATTGTATATTTTCAGCGGCAAAACTGCAATAAAAATACTTGCCTACCCCTGATGTTAGTTTTTTAATTAAATATTTGCTTGATTATGTACAGTATACGCTCACTTGAATTTGCTTTGCTCATCATAGCAAGACCGTTTATTTTTGTTTCAGACACTCTTATTGTGCACACTGACCTCTGATTGTCTAAGTCATATACGACTTTATCGAGGATGTCACTGGAATGAATGAGCCTCTCAATATCCTGGAAAATCTTCGTTCTGTTGGAAAAGAATGTCTTAAGTGAATAGTTCATTGAAAAATTTAAATTCTGTCATTTTGTCAACTTTCTTCCTTCCATGGAGCACAAAATGAGGTATTCTGATAAACCTTCTATTCTTTAGAAGCATAGAGTGACCAGGAGCGGTCTATATCACTTATTTTAATTTGGCCTGATTATCACATGCAATTCTTCAGAAGATTTGGAATATAGTCACATGGACAACTTTGATGCTTTTATGGTGTTTTTTTGAAGCTTGACAACCCCTGGCTTTTGTTGTATGGAAAAGAGCAGTGTGAACATTTCGCTGAACATCTCCTTTTGTTTTCCATGGAAAAAAAGATACAGGTTTGAAATATGGCATAGAACTGCTTTAAATAAGACTAAATAAGGATAAATAGTTCACACACACACACACACACACACAAAAAAGATAATTAGTTCTTCAATAGATGAGTTTCTTCATCGGAACAGATTTGGAGAAATTTAGCGTTGCATTGCAGTGAATGGGTGCCGTCAGAATGAGAGTCCAAACAACTGATAAAAGCATCACAATAATCCACAAGTAATCCACACCACTCCAGTCCATCAATTAACATCTTTTGAAGCCAAAAGCTGCATGCTTCTAAAAAGTAAATTCATCATTAAGATTTTTTAAACTTTAAACCATCACTTCTGGCCAAAATTCAGAAGTCCATAATTCATAATGACACTTCCTCCGGTGAAAAAGTCCATCCTCCGTTTTCCTCTCACATCAAAAAAGTCCACTGACATATTTGTTCAGAAATGCTTTGAACTAGGGCTGTACGATAAATCGCATGCGATATTTAATGCGCATCTTGTCAGAAAGCCGGTTGTTTACGGACTACACAGAGCCGTTGTTTACTGACGAGCTGCGCAAAACCACGTTCATATTCGTGCGATTTTTTGTGCAGCTCGTCAGTGAACAACGGTTCTGTGTAGTTAATGCTGCTCAATGTAAAAGCCCGCAGGTGATGGAGATTTACCGCTGATTAAAGAACCGGCTTTACTGATAAGATGCACGTTAAATATCGCATGCGATTTATTATGCAGTCCTACTTTGAACTGTTTTTGCTAGTAAACGGTGCATGATCTGTGAATATTTCTCTCCTGATTCAGACAGGATTACTTTTTCACTGAAGACGGCAATATTAGGGATATGACTCATATTTTAGCCAGAAGTAAGGGTCTGAAGTTAAAAACATTTATTGACATTAATTGATGGACTGGAGTGGTGTGGATTACTTACTTGCTTGGATTATTGTGATGATTGTTTTGCGATGTTTGGACTCTCATTCTGACGGCACCCATTCACTGCAGAGGATTCATTGGTGAGTTGCTACATTTCTCCAAATCTGTTCCGATGTAGAATCAAATTCATCTACATCTTGGATGGTCTGAGGGTGAGTGAATTTTCAGAAAATTTTCATTTTGGGGAGAACTATGCCGTTAACATTTCAAAAAGGCAGAAAAACGTATGTGTAGTACCTCTGCACACCATAAGCCCTCTCGAGAATGGGCTCGCGGAGATTGAGTGCCACATGCCCAAAGTAATCTGGGTAAGCCACCTCTGTGTAGGCGGGCACTGAGCGGGTGCTCTTCACAATCTCTAAGTAAAGGTCAGGGTCGTGCAGCGGCAGCAGTGCTGCGGTGTCTGGCACTTCCAGCACCGCTTGTTCCCCGCCCTCGTCCTGAGGCCCATCCACAGAGCCTCCATTCACGCCAGTATCTAGAACCAGGCTGCCCAAACTACAGACCAGATCGGGGTCCGCTGTGCCCTCTGGCCTTTTTGAGATGGAAATGCTGTCCAGCTCCAGAGGGGAATCATTTGACTTGGGCGTCAGAAGGTCCTCTCGCAGCGGACGTCTGTTCTGAGGCCCCAGGGAGCTCGGCGTGGTGGGAATGATGATGGGACGATGAAGCTCGGAGTTAACACTTGATGGAGGGATGACAGATCTGGGGCTTTCAAAGTCATCATCCTGAGAACAAAACAGAAAGCGATCACACCTGATGACTAAGTGAATGAGTTTCCATATATGAGGGGTGAAATTAACAAAAGAAAGAAAAAATGGTAACAATACAAAAGTTAAGCTATTAAAGACATGTATTTTTGTGTCTGCAATTTTTGTAATCAGTGCATTTTTAGTTTACATGCATTTTTTGCCTTTTCATCATTTAATCAGAAGTGTCCTCACCTCAAAATTCTCACTGAATTCCCGACAGAAATACTCGTAGGCTCTGAGCTCATCGAACGGACGCGTATTCATCTGTATGGGCCGCAGTTTGTTGATATCTGTCTCTATGTCATCATTCTGCGGTGCATAACAAACATAAATTATAAAATCAGTTTCCAGATTGCTCTTTTACAAATAATCGGAAACACATGTAGGCCTATGAGTAGAAACAGCAGATCATTGTATAGGATTGTGTAAACACTGTGTGATAGAACAGGTCTATTTATTACCTTCCCATCAAGTCTGGGTTAAATAATTAATTTGCAACAGACGACACATCTTCCAAAAAATTGAGCGGGCTGGTATTTGGCCATTTTAAAATGACTGGTCGATAAACATTATAATCGTCTGATAAACATTTCCTGCTTGGAAGTACAAAAATCACTAAAACTGAGATAATAAATGTAAAGATTATATATATATATATATACACATACATATATATATGTGTGTATATATATATATATATACACACACGTTTGTGTGTGTGTATATATATATATATATATATATATATATATATATATATATATATATATGTGTGACTTACTTTACTGAACTAATGTTCCATATCAATAAATAATGACTTCAATACAGCCATTAGGCAGATCAATTTTACTTGATGGGCCACTTTAAAAAAATATGTATTATCTGTTTAATAAGTATACCTCACAATCATGTCTTTCATAATTTGTATATCTCACCGTAAGCCTTATGGTGTGAAATTGATAAGCAACTTAAATAGAACAATTTGTTTCCCTCTCATATTTCCCTCTTTTTGGTAGATCTTGAGATTGGTCGATCCTAGCCAGAATCCCTAATCAATTGGATGTTGTCTGAAATGGCTGAATGCTGATAATTATACATTTTCACACAGGTCATTCAAATGGGGAGAGTCGGACCCTCTTCCGTATGCAGTTTATGGACATTGAATTATTTCACACAAAGGACTGGTCTATGTGATAGGTGGAAAAACTGAGAGCAAGTGAGTGAAGAATCTGATTTTATCCTAGTTTACAAACACATTATGCCAGGTTGTCTTTGGTTTTCATAACCAGACTTAAATGAAATGTGATGTATAGGAAATGCCTGAGGAGAGTATGTGTTTATGACCCCTCTAAGTTTGAATGGAAGGATCTGGCACCCATGAAAACTGCCCGTTCGCTGTTCGGCACAGCTGTTCACAAAAACAAAATCTATGTGGTGACTGGAGTCATTGATAACGGCCTGACTAACAGTGTGGAGATCTATGACATCGCCAGCAACACGTAAGTCACACTGTTTTGTCATATTTTCTCAAGACTCCTCAACTCAAAGTAAGGAAGATGCTCAGTTGTTTGTCTCCTGCTTAGCTGGTCAGAGTTCGTGGAGTTTCCCCAGGAGAGAAGCTCTCTTAACCTGATTGAACTGGGCGGCTGCTTGTACGCTGTGGGGGGGTTTGCTATGATGCCCAATGAGACCACAGAAAAACTGGAGCCCACTGAAATGAACGACATTTGGAAGTGAATATGTGTGTGTATGAGATCACTGTACCTGTGTTTTGTGAGCGGTTTCATCCTCATCATATTCTGTGTCATTTTCTGTGTCGACCTCTGTGGCTTCATTCTCATCGCTCTCATCAACTACATCATCCACTAGCACAGAATACACAACCAGGATTTAATACCAGTTTATAACACTGCGTACAAAGAAGTATGAAACAGCATGCAGGGATGCAAACTCATCATGGGTGAAAAAGGTGACAAAGACACGGCCCCCCCACACACACAAAAAAATACCCCACACATTTTTTAAACACTTGTAGAATATTTTAACGCCTTTATTATTTCACTTTTCATTCATGGAGATGACATGTGGAAAACAAAGACTTTTAAGATGACAATTACATAAAACTACCATTATATCCAGTAGATGGCAGCAGAGGATCACTCATTAGCTCAGTTGTCATTTTCACTCCCTAGTTTTCACGTCTTGATTTTGAATTTATTATAAAATTACTATTATAACACATTTTAATACTGTACTGAAGTAGTATAGCAAGTACAATGAATGAGACTTGGTTGAACAACTCATTCAACTGTTTTTGCAATGAAAGGTAAAAGGGAAATCGGTCTGTAGTTCTCTAAAAGAGTTAGGTTAAGAGTGGGTTTTTTAAGAAGTTGGGTTATACGAGCCTGTTTAAATGCTGAGGGAAAAACACCAGTGTGAAGGGATGTGTTAATGTGAGTGAGTGCAGGTACAACGGCAGGAGAAATGGCTTGAAGGAGATGAGATGGAATAAGATCAAGCGGACAAGTAGTAGGATGATTGGAAAGGATGAGTTTAGAGACTTCTGCCTCAGAGAGTGGAGAGAAGGATGAAAACGAGTGCATGTTTGCTGGTAAGATGTGTTTGACAGTTTGTGGTGTGGCAAATTGTGCACTGAGGTTTGTAATTTTATTAATGAAGAATGTGGCAAAGTCGTCAGCTGTTAGAGTTGATGAAGGAGGGGGAGGACAAAGGAGGGAGGAAAATGTTTTAAAGAGCATGCAAGAGTTAGGCGAATTGGATTTTGTGATTTGCGCCATACTCTTTTACATTTACATTACATTCTCATTTACATGACCATGTGCGTTTTCAGCTTTTAAAAGCAGATGACTATAGCAGCTACAGAATTTAATTGGTACTAATGGTACTGTAAGACGACACCCTCCAACCAAATACACTTTCTCATCGGATCTACACGAATCTCGTAAGTGACCTATTTTGATCTCAAAAAGATGAGTTTTCACCGAAAAGGTGAGGAGTTTGCATCTATGAGCATGGTTACGGTCAAATACTGTCAGCATTACCAACCAATTTGACGTCTGTAAGAAGACATATTTTGAAAAGAAATAGAATTTCCGGGACTTGCATTTATCCTTCGGCAATTGATTGATAAATCACATACAACAATACCAGGAACAATGCAAAGACCCTAAATATTGTGCATTTTGATATCATTTGGACATTAAGGTGAGATTGAGATTTATCATGCACCAACACCAATATCAATGACACCCTGTGAGCGCAGCTGTGAGTGTGTTTTACCTCCAGGCGGCTGGTTGTACAGCTGCGCCACCGGTCCACCGGCTGGTATGTGTGGTAGAGGGTGGTGAAAGACACTTTTAATAGTAGGCAGTGGTAGGCGGTTCTTTGGAAAGCACTTCCTCATAATTAGGCTGGAGGTATTGACCAGAGGATCCAGTGTCCGGACAGACAGGCACTCCTGAAACACATCACAGTTATATATCTTCATACTGTAGTGAAGCTATCTGGCATGTTCCAATGGAAGTACCAATAAAATGAAACTTTATCCAACACTTTCATACAGTGGATGTGTTATAAAGGATTCTCATCCCGTTGGCGTCTATGAAGGCCTTCCTGCCAAGCTTAATGTTAGTGAGGTTTTTGATGCATCCCAGAATGCTCTTGCGGATGACCACATGGCGGTGACGTGTGTCATTGCGGTGCCAATCTTGGTAGATTGTGAGTAGCGTGGGAAGATATCCTGTGTCCACTGCCCGACGGGCATTCATTCCTGAAGAGCACATGCACAAAAAACCTGTTATAGACATCATTAACAGCACTGCAATAGCATGTTTTGTGCTGGATATGGATATATATATATATATATATATATATATATACAGTGGGTACGGAAAGTATTCAGACCCCCTTAATTCTGTGTTTTTCTGTCAATATGGGGTGCTGTGTGTACATTAATGAGGAAAAAAAATTAACTTAAATGATTTTAGCAAATGGCTGCAATATAACAAAGAGTGAAAAATTTAAGGGGGTCTGAATACTTTCCGTACCCACTGTATATATATACAGTATGTGTGTGCGTGTATGATACTGTTCAGAAATGTTAGGGGTCGTAAGATTTTTTAATGTTTATGGTCAATATTTCAATACATGTTGAATTGTAATTTATTCCTGTGATGCGAAGCTGAATTTTCAGCATAATTTCTCCAGTCTTCAGTGTCACATGATCCTTCAGAAATCATTCTAATATGCTGACTTGCTGCTCAAGAAACATTTCTGATTATTATTATTATTATCAATGTGGAAAACAGATGTGCTGCTTAGTATTTTGTGGAAACATTTTATTCCAGGATTTTTTTCGATTAGAACTTTTGCTGTCACTTTTGTTCAATTTAATGTATTCTTGCTGAATTCAAGTATTAAATGTATTGGTCACACTTTAGTTTGGAGACCAAGTCTCACTATTAACTCCCAATTTGGTGTTTATTAATAGATAGTCAGGTAGTTGTAGTAGTTATGTTTAGGTATGGGGTAGGGTTAAGGGATCTAGAATATGGTCATGCAGAATAAGACATTAATATGTACTAATAAACAATCAATCTGCTAGTGATATACATGCTAATAAGCAACTTGTTAAAGGGATACTCCACCCCAAAATGAACATTTTGAATACTGTTCTGTGTCAGCCGCACCACACGGATACGATTTTCATTCAAATTGTAGCGTCTGGACCACTCAAAAACACAATATATATTTTGTTAGCTAGATTTAACAAATACTCTGTAACACCCCAGGAAGCCGAACAGGCCCCTGGTTCCATAGCAACACTGACACCAGATACATTTACGATCTAAAGGAATGTGAGCAGACTCTCACTGCATTTTCCAGAGCAAGAGGCACAATGCACCATAGAAATTGACTTTTCTACTAAGTAATTCATAGGAAAACCTTTCTTTGAATGAACACCCATATCCTTCAGGTCATTGTGTATATTATTGTCATCGTGTATTTTGGTCTTTGAGATTGTATACCGTTTTATGCAGGCTTATGATCGAAATACTCACTCCTGTCAGCTTACATATATATATAACCCTACCATGTTTAGTATCTATGAATTCGTATTCGGATGATCTAATTGAGAGTGTATATTGTATGTTTACACCTACGCAACATATTAGTGTTCTAAG